GGGGTGGCGGCGCCGGGCATCGCTTTGCAAATTCCTCCCCCCCCACACATACACACACTGCTCTCCATTTCGGGGACGCCCGAGGGGTGCCGATGGGTGCGCAGGGCACGGGGGAAGCGCCCGCTCCGCCGTACGCCTGAGGCCAGGGGAGGTTAAAGGCGGGAGCGCCTGGAGTGCGCCTGACAGAAGGGGAAGTCGGTTCAAAATGCCTGGAAGTACCAGCCCTAGAACTATGCTAACACTCAAGATAAATAAATAAGGGCTTTTAATTTGCTTGCAGTTAGAAACTTTTGGACTTTTTTTTTCCCCGGAGAGAGAATGGCATGGAGGGGGGGAAAATGAAACAAAACCGAGAAAACCCTCCGACTGAAAACAGAGGCTGGAGAGAGGCACTTGGCCACGCTGCGAGCTGGGGTGATGCTCCTGTACCAAGAGCACGTGTACTTGCTAGCTCTCCTGCTGGGGTGGGCCGCCCCAAAGGGATCACTGGGAATTTGGGCAGCAACATGCACCCGTTGACTTTTGTGCAGGGTGCCTGATCCCTCGGGGCCCTTGGGGTTCCTGCAGCCACCTCTGAAACTTTCCGTGTGCCTTATGTCTGCCAGGGATAGCCGAGTTAAGTTGTGGTCCCCTGTCAGTTAGTTTCCCATGATTTTTACTGTAGTGTGTGCTTGAAGTGTGTATGGTGCCGGGCTTTTTTGTTGAGAGGTCTTGAAAATCCTCATGGTCGTCTGTGAAGGATAATATACATGTTCTCACTGGCAGGGTGGAGCTTCTGAAAGGTCAATGAAGTTTTGGACAAAATCCCTCCATCACCTCCCCAACATGTGGAAGGTGAGGAGAGATCCAGAGAAGCCGCAAGGTTCTTGTATCTTCCCCACAAGGATAAATCAGTGCCCTGGCCCCTACACTCGGCCCTGTACTTCTCTCTGTGTGTAGGCACCCTGTAACAGCTCGCTGATAGACAAAGATGTCACACTGTGCAAGCCCAGCTGTCCTGGCTTTTCTGCCTTTCCAGTGAATGCTGACGGGACTATTCCAGGTGTGTAGGAAGGAGGAGATGCACAGGGCTTGGAAGGCTGTGAGCTGCAGATGAGTCTGATCGTGAGAGATGCTGAGCATCGCCTCTCCCAGGATGGTCCCTCCAGCCCGGTGGGAGCAGCACGCTCTGCTTGCAGGGGGGCTCACACACCCAGGCTTTTGGCTACCATCTTTCAGACATTACTTATCCAAGCCATTTCCCAAGCGTGCTCACTTTAGGACTCGATCCTGTTTGCTGCGTAGAAGAGCTCTGCTTGTTCCCATCTCCTGCGTGATGCCTGCAGCCCTTTTCAATGACCGCTGTGTGTTGGGTACCTGCACCCCAAGAGTTAATCCTTCCCCGTCATCTACTTCTGCAAACAGACTTCCAGCCCTGACTTCAGTAGGAAGCGCAGGCTGAGACTGGGGCTGTATGTCAGGAGAGAATTGCTGATGAGCGTCTAAACTAGAGCATTTTTAATCACCACGCGGTGGTGGGATCTGACAGCTTCCGTTATAATCACGGTAATCCAGTGTGTGCTGGATGCTGTCCCTCCGGTGCTGAGAGGCCTCCCCTTGCAGATGCAAACTCCAGGCTTGATATATTTTGTTTCTATAAGCTGCTTCCATATCTCGGTTGTTTGGCGACTGTGTGTAATGTGCTTGGAAGTGTCAGTCTAATTCTCCATGGACAGACATCTACACCACCAAAACCGCAAGGGGAAGTAGCACTGATTTCCCAAATCACTGGCAATCTTGTTCTAGGCTGAGCCTCAAGCAGAAGTCAGGCAAGGAACAAATTAAAGCTGCACTCTTTTGGGAAATGGGCAACTCTTGAAAAGCCTCAGATTCCTGGCCTTGGCCCTGTCTCCATAAATCATTTCAGCCCTGGACTCAGCTGGGAGCCCAAAGAGCCTAGAGAACAAGTTGCTGTCCTCTCTTCCCGTGAAAGCTGGTCTCTAGGGTCAGCACGGGAACATACTGGCAGAGCTGTATTCGCTCTGCAGAGAGAAAGAAATCATTCTCTGGGAAATGTTTGCTGCGAGGTTTTCCTAGCAATTTGCTGAGGGGTGGGCTGGCTGTCCCGACCATCATTGGATGACATTTGGATTCATTTCTTGTCAGGCTGCCAACGGCGTGCTTGGTGCCGTACGTGACATCAGGTGACAGTCAGCTTCATTGCACATACGCGCGGCGCTGGCTTGTCACTCAAATCATTCACACCGGTGCCGGCGGAGAGGTTTTTGAGGAGCAGTTCGGATCAGAAGAGAGGACGTTGCTTTCCGTCACGTCTTGGTCAGCGGGGCCGGGAAGCGGGAGTGCGGAGAGATGCGTTTGTAGAGGTAAACGTGGTAGGGAGGCTTTCTCTTGCCTCGGGTAAGCGCCGTCTTTTCACATCCCCGAGCATACAAAGGGCCTTCAGCCCCGTGCAGGAGGCAATCTCTCTGTGCCGTCAGCCGCAGACCTCAGTTTACTTCTTGTTCCTTGGTTAGTCCTCCGTCCCCTCCTTGTCATCACGTATCAGGCTCTTAAGCAGCTGGGAGGCTTTTCCTGAGGCACTGAAACCGATACCTCCCTGCAGACGGGCAGGCGAGGAGCACAGGAGAGTGCCGCGCTTGCACGCAGCCGGCCCCAGCCCTGCACTCCTTTGGGAAGGGGTCGGGTGCTGGATGCGGAGCTGCTGGAAGCAGGAGCCCAGCTCAGCCACCGGTACTCAGCACCCACGCAGGTGTCGTCCCCTTCCCCACCCTGTTCGGATGTGCGAGGCTGGAGATACCCATCCTCGCTGGTATGCATGAGATAAAAAGCCAGTGCTTGCAGGATTGGGCCCACCACGGCCGTGCTGTAGGGAGCCCGTCCATGCATGGTGAGAAGGAAGGGGAAGCCATACCTCTCTGCAGGACACCCTCCCCATCTCGGCAGCCCACCCGAGGGCGAGTGACTGGCACGCAGCGTGCCGGGCAGATGGGCTGACAGCGGCATCCCCGCGCTCCGCAGCTGTGTACATATGGCACACATGTTTCGGCTTGTGTCGGCTAGCTCTCCAGATGGCAGGAAGGGGTGGGTTGTTTTTTTCCCCAGTTCTTGGTGGAGGAAGAGCCGACCGCAGTCGTTTCACACAAGGAGAGACTAATCCAGCCGTGTCCCTGAGCACTTAACTGTCCCCGGCTCGCCTCCGAAGCTGGGGCCCCCTCAGAGGTGGGAGGTAGACAGGCAGCTGCTGGCTCTGGGAAGCTGCCTGCTGTTGGGAGAGACCTGTCATTGCCATTGTGCTCACCCCTTGGTGTCATGGCCACCAGGAACGAGGATCTCCCTCTCTCTGTATCGAGCTGCTGCCTTCACCATAGGGCCATAACACTGAAGTGGGACTGAAGAGTAGATGCTCCTGAGATACAGCTCTTCCCACCTAGTCTCGGCACTTGTGATCTTCAGCTACTCAGTCTGGAAGAGATTTCGCCCCCTCAATCCCCCAAGCATCATTTGTCCAAGTGATCCTTCCACTGACAGTGGATTCCTGAGGCTAACAGCGTAGTTCCCCGTGGAAAACACTCACTTGCTCTAAAACACTTTGCGGTGGTGGAGATAATTCTGCTATACTTTGCTCTCCTGCTGCTGCTGCCTTTCTGGGTGTCCCTCCTGGGTGCTGCTCCTGTCCCCATGGCTGGGCAACTCCTACCCGGAGCACTGGTCTCCTGCCCTTGGATGCCCTGGCAGGTGCTGGTCAGTGGGTTCTTGTGCTGTCCCAGCTGCTCCAGGACCCCCCATAAGTGACATGACAGGTTGTCACTTCCATCCTTTTTCTGTCCCTCTCCCTGCCATTGTGGGTGGTCAATGAACCCAAACATCTTTGATGCAGACAGAGATGTAGCACCAAGTTCACAAGAACCCAGGGTCATCTCCTCCTCCATCTGAAGTGCCCTTGTGCTGGTGGATGTTCCAGTTCATGACACAATGCAAATGTTTGGAGGAGACAAGGTGCAACAACACCACTGCACATCTTCAGAGCAACTGCTATCCAGGCCAGGCCATGGTTGCCAGCAACGCTGATTCCTTTTTTTGTCTGCAAGTTCCTTTCAGCAGCAAAAGTCTCTTACTCCAGCACAACCCAGGTGTGAAACTGAACCATCTTAACGTTTGTTACAGCATGGACTTAGCCACCAGGTTTGTTCCTGGAGGCCTTGGCCAGGAGGAGATAGTGCTCTCCACCGTTAGGCTGCAGCGGGCACCCAAGCAAACCAACTCCCACCACTATATTGCACTCACAGGAGTTGCAGTCGAGCTTCTCAGCTGTGCTGACAGACCCTAAGGTGGCAGCAAACTCTCCCTCGATGGACAGAGACAACCACAGCAGCCTTCCCGATCTGGAGCCTGCCTAGGCTTGCACATCTGGTTTCTCTCTGGAGCACTGCTGTCCAGCTCCTCCTCAAGAAAGCAACGCATCGAGCCACAGTGAGCTAGAATCTGTGCCGGGAGCAAATGTGTCCACAGACATTTATTTTCCCTTGAAGTATATTGGCACTTTTCTAAATCTTTTCACCACTGCATTACTAGGGCGCTCTCTGCCTTAGCAGCTGACAGCCTCCCTCTCTGCACTCATGTGGGTTCTGGAGATATTTTAGGGTTTTATAGAGCTTTTTAGCTGCTGGAGTGGAGGGTTTTTCCCCCCACTAGCATCCTTTCACTTTTTGCTGCCGGCATGCACGTGGCTGCTGTGGCTTGTTGTTAAATCAGTGCAGAAAAGACCCTGCTCGCTCCCGCTGGGAGCGCGGTGGGACATCAGGAGCAGCAGCCTCAAGGCCACGGGAGGAGGTTGCATTGCTGCGGGGTAGGGTGGGGGCAAGCCGTCTGCAGGGGTTTAAGGGAACAAGCCAGGCACTAAATGCAGGCAGGACCTGTGGCTTGAGCAGTGCCTTAGCCACAAGCTGGTGGAGGCTGAGACTATTCTGGGGATGCATCATTACGTGCTTCACCCTGTTTGTGTGTCATCCTAAAGGCAGCTGTGGTTTGTCACCTCTGCAGGCAGGACACCGTATGCGACCAGTGTCTCTGGTGTGTCCTTACTGTGTGGTGGGGAGGCTGAGAGCTTTCTTTCATCACCTGCTGACATCTCCCAGCCCTATTCCCAGTGATTCATCCCCCCATGATCCCACCAGCAGGAAACCCTAAGGTGCCTTAAAAACCAGCTCCTGAAGACAAACTGCCCGTCGAGCTCCCTGGGGGTGACAGCTGGGTGGGGGGGATTGGTCCTGCTCCATGGTGGCAGTTGGAGAGAAGCTGCTGGGCTTCGGGAGAGCTGGAGCATCCTCCACACGTTGTTCACAGCGTGTGGTGCCAGCGCTGCGCGTTGTCATCGAGCAGCACAGCGTTAACCGGAGCATCTCGGTGGTTTCAGCCAGTCCAGGGTGACGCTTACAGTTATTTAGAGCCTGGTTGGGGCAGAGCAGGGCGGCACTGTGGTTTAACAGCTAAGGAAGATGACAAAATACTAGCCTGAAGCAATGCAAGGGGAGAGAAAATAAGGGAGAAACCAGACAAAAGGACAAAAATCCTGAAAACAATGACTGTGTGTCACCAAGAACGGGGCTTGTTTGCTCCCTTGGCTGCTGTCTAACTGATTTTATCCTCTGCTACAAATCCTGCTCCTGTTGGGAGGTATTTGCTCTGCCTGCTGCAGCCACCCCGAGTTAACCTCTGTGTTTTCTTACGGCTCCTGCTGAAATTGGAGGAAAGAGTCTGCTTTTCTCCATCAGGCTTTGAATCCAGCCTCCGCTCCCTGCCCTAATCCATTCTCAAATTCCTCTCCGGGCTGCAGTCCCCATGGTGGGAAAGTGGGACACTTTATGGTACCTTGCAGCAGACCCCCCCAGGCTCTTTGTTCCCGACCTGCATCTCCTTTGGTCCATGCCATGTGTGTTCACAAAGTGATATATCCCACCCTGGTCCCAGTTTGCACTGTCCCCGGTGCCAAGCAGGGATGTGAGCAGAGCCACGCATGTGCTGCGGGAGGGTTGTGCTCCTTGCAGCTGGCCACAGGCTCGGGGCAGCTCCTGGGTCTAAGCAGCGATAGCAGGGGGGTGGAAAACCCTGTGGTGTCCAGCAGTGGCCGGTGACTAAAGAATCACCAAGGCCAAGCTGGGGCTGGTGTAATGCCATTAGCTCCAGTGGAGCTTGTTCTCCTGTTCCCCAGGTGAATTGGACCCATTGGACCTCAGAGATGGAGATGACCATTACGAAAACGTCACCCAAAAAAGTGTTTCCCCACTATAGTGCTTGAGGGTAGCCCCTTCTAGAGGAGATTTTCTGTGCCCAATGGCCCTGGGATTTCTCCTGTGATACCCCAGTAGTCCTCTATGTAGTTATTATTTTGGGAGGTGGTTCAAAGAGCCTGCAATAAGGTAAGAGCTTTGCTGCAGCCCAGCAATGTGATATTTTTCATGCATGATACTGAGAGTGCGTGTTGCATGCCCTGAGGATGTGCAGGAGGCTTTGAGGGTGCAAAACGTCTGAGGATAGTGCAGGAGGACTGTCCAAAACGGAGCGGAGCCAGGCCTGGGGCAGCATTAACCAGACTGCCGTTTGGAAGAGATCCCTGGGGTGAACTCACCCAGCACCACACCTAGGTTTTGTTTGGAGAAAGCCAATTCATTCGCTCCAAGGAGTGAACTCATGTTTCTGCAATGTGAGCGATGGGGGAGCCAGGAGCTGGGAGGGAACTGGGAGCTGGGTTATTTGACAGCGTGGACCCACCCGAGAGGCGAAGGCGCCTCAGTCGGGACTAGTGCTCCCGCCTGAGTGATGCTGCTTTTGTTCTTGTTGGCGTTTTTAAGCTAGGTTTGGTCCCTGGCTGGATGCTTCACTGCCTGTGGCGAGGCAGGGATGAGGCTTTCTTTCAAGCTGCTGTAATTGCTTTGCTAGCACAGGGCTGCCCGTTCCCCACTGCTGCAGTCTGGTGGCAGGGAAACAAAAGCCTCGCACACCCATGGTATGAAATAGCTGCCCATCGCTGGAATAGAGCTCTTGCAGAGCATCTGACACCGTGACACCCACAGATGGTCGAGGGAGGTGATTCTGCCCCTCTGCTCCACTCTGGTGAGACCCCACCTGCAGTACTGCATCCAGCTCTGGAGCCCTCAGTACAGGAATGACATGGACCTGTTGGAGCAGGTCCAGAAGAGGGTCACAAAAATGATCAGAGGGATGGAACGCCTCTCCTAGGAGGAAAGGCTGAGAGAGTTGGGGTTGTTCAGCCTGAAGAAGAGAAGGTTCCAGGGAGACCTTATTGTGGCCTTTCAATACTTAAAGGGGGCTTATAAGAAAGATGGGGACAGAGTTTTTAGCGGGG